GACAAAATCACCATTGGACCATGAGAAATTTGTTGTGGAAAACTTACAACAAATTTGGAGAGTATGAGTTTGAAAAAAAAAAATCATTTCCTAAGAGTATTCTAAATCACTTCGACTACCCTTAGGACTCATATTATAATGACGCTGAAACATAGGAATAGGATGAGAGAATGAGCATGAATTGCAAATTATGAGTATAGCTGTTTTTTTTTACAAGTACAAAGAAAGCTTTGCCCGCCTCATACGAGAGCAGAGATTTCCATTGCCTGTAGGCTAACATGTTTGTGAAGAAATGAAACAGCAAATCTACTCCCCTCAAACTGGGCCCTGATTATAGGAGAACAGCCTGGAGACATCAAAACTTCATTTGCTGAAGGCTTTCTTATCATGCAATCCCAAGTAATTTGAGTTAACACTGAGAATTAAGAAAGGATCCAGGAATCTGAGAATGACACTAGAATGTTCATACCCACTGAAACTCTTGCCAATGATCAAAAGAGAATCTTGTAGCAATTCATCTAGAACTGACTTGGGCTTTTTGTAGCCCTAACTCTATAATTCTTGAATTTTTTGTTTGTTTGTTTATTTAAAGTAGAAAAGCAGTAGCTGTGTAAAAATGTTGAATGAGGGCTACTGGAGGATCAGAGAAGTGACAGTAGATGCTCTGAGGGCAGGGAAGAAAGAGAAACAATGAAAAAGCATAGAAGGGCTTTCAAAACACAGCAGACTGGTGGAAAGAGAATGAGGATAAACAGCTTTATATGTGTTTCAAGCTACAGAGTTGTTAATGTTCTTCAGTCTGCAAAATAACTGATGTTTAACTTAACTAAAGTTAAGTATTAGGAAAATACACTGGGTAAAACATTCAGGTTTAAGAAGGGAGATTAAAAATTTTTAAATAAAAATTTGTTTTGAAAGGTTTCCATTAGAAATGGTTTAAATAGAAACTAACATTTTGGTGCTTAAAATGAGAGAGTTTTGGCTATTTAAGGCAGTGAGTCACAGTGCTATAAGCACAAGCTTTAGAAATCAGGGAGCTTTGGGGTGTGTAATATTAAATTTGATACTGTGTCTCATTTTCCTCATCTGTAAAATGGGCTTATGGATGCCTACATAAAATGGGGTTGTAATGAGGATTAAATTAATTAAGTGATATATTCTAAATATCTGGCACATAGTAGAAATTCAGTGTGTGGTGGTTGTATTAGGGAAATTGCAATCCCTGTAATGATAAGTAAATGATGCATCTGAATTTCTCTTATGTGTGATTAGGCAACATTATTCAGCAGGGTACTAGAGGACTCTTGCTAGGAATCTGGCCATATTCCCTGCCCTGTCCAATTGTAAGGCATGAATTGCAAGACCTCCAGCTCAGTAGAGAGACAATAATAACCTTTGGGCAGTTGACTCACATTGGCTCTTGGCTCTTTGGAAAAATGGCGTGCTACATCAAACTAAGGAAAGGAAGGAATTAACAAGGTATTTGTCAAATACAGTTCTTTATTTTTAAAATACATTTCAACTAAAGCATTGTAAGCCATAGTAGAAATGTAGTCATGTCAAAAAGATTATTCTTTTTTACTTGGCATAATAGGTTCACAAAGAACTTATATTTTATGAACTTTTCAATATTCAACTGTTTTTGATCTGCAAAAATGACAAATGCATATGGTCCCACCTAACTGTTACTAAAGCAAAAGTGATTGATTCGCTGCCTCATTTTAGAGTTGAATATTTTGTATAATGTATTTGTCAAATAGTTTGTATATGGAAAACTACATAAAGAAATATTTTAGGGGAGGACATAAGGTTGTCAGCAGCATTTGCTGTCCTCAGGTTTAGCTGCTTATCCAGCAGCTAGTCTCTCCCATTCAGGAGTGAGTCAAACCTAAACCCCAGAAATTCTTCAGCTTCAGAACAGACTATTTTCTGCTTCCTAACCAATGTTGTGTCCATTGCCAAATTTCACTGAGTTGTCACTCTGCTTTCTATATTTTTGACTTTTTGGCTTTTCTGGGCCCTGAGAATTATTTTTGACCTCATAACTCAGTAGATTAGAGGGGCTTTTCTTGCGTGTCATAAAAGTAGCTGAGCTACTGACTTAAAGATCATGAAAATTGCTTTTTCTCAAATAAACTCTTGATTTTATTTAGACTTTAAAGATTTTCTTCTGGAAACATTAGGGTACTTTGATGAATTCACTAACTATAGATTTTGGTGTAGTAATAGTAACAATTAATGAAGTAAGGCTTTACTGGTATCTTTAGAGACTAACTATTAAGTCCCAAGGTTTGTCAGGCTATGAAGATTTGAACCTTTTTACTTTAAGAAGCCATTTCATCGAAATAGAACCTCCCGTCTCTATTGGCTAATGGTAGAAATTCAGAATCATTAGCTAAATTAATTGGTCATGTAGTTCGTCTTTAGACTGTTATAAACAGTAGTGGAATAGTTACTGAGGTGAGAGCAATTAATTGGATGTACTTTGAATATATTCTAACCAAATGCTATGCCTGTCATTCTTAGTGACCTCTTAAAGACTGCCAAAAGAAAACCGTTGATGAATCTTAGTGTCATCAAAACAACATCTAGAACAGCTTAAAAATTCTTCATATCTGTATAATTTACAGCATCTCAGAATGAAAAGTCGTTTTGAATACTGCTGTTTAAGTGTTATCCCAGTGCCTCATAGGTTTAAAGGAGAAAGTGAAAGTGTGGAACACTTTTTCTAAGTTTTTAAAGCCCACAAATCGTAGAGGCAGGAATAGAATGTAGGTTTCTTATGTCTAGGACTCATGTGTTAGACCAGGAAGGAGTTGAAAATTCAG